GTAGGACACACACACACACACAACACACACCACACACCACACCACACAGACCACACACACACACACACACACACACACACACACACACACACACACACACACACACACACACACACACACACACACACACACACACACACACACACACACACACACACACACACACACACACACACACACACACACACACACACACACACGTCATCACCGCCTTACATTCTATCATTTTCAGTATATTCATTGTTTTCAGTCATTCTATCAGCTGTATGCTATATGTGTGTTAAAGTTTGTCTAGTTGTGCTTTGCACGACTCCCTTTTAAGTAATTTTTCCAGCGCTTCACCACGTCCTTAAAGACGGGCGCGTTGTCTATGGACGCCAGCAGCTGCAGCTGGTTGATGTGCGTGGTGTGATAGTCCCAGCGTGCAAGGTTAGGCGCTGTGGCCAACATGAAGTGGCGCAGGTCGTAGATGCTCCCAGACCCCGTGTCAAAGAGTGGCAGCATGGCCTTCAGAGAGTCCATGCCGCGGCTGAACAGCTGCCCCGCCTCCCGGCCCAGCTTCTCCCCCGCGGTCTCCGTCAGGTCGTGGAGGCCCAGCAGCGAGTAGATGAAGCCGTTGAGGACAAAGGAGCTGGGGGTGGTGGGGTACTCTTCATACCAGTCGTATTTGTTCATGAACACAGCTTTGACCCCGTGCTGCGCTGAAGGCACCTTGTAGGGTCCCACCGCCCTGAGGGCAGCGCTGAGGTAGCCCTGCTCCCTGGTGAGGAGGAAGGCCCTCACCAGGGTGGACATGGCCTGGCCCTGAGCCATGGCCGAGTACCAGCCGGGCTCCAGGGGCCGGAAGCCCTCCCCCAGTTTACGTGTGACCATGATGGGCCAGCCTCCCCGCTCGTCCTGGTTGCGCACCAGCCAGTCGCTGGCGGCGAAGAAGGCGGCCATGTGGGCGGTGGTGGAGATGGTGACGTTGTCAACAAAGCCACGCCCGTGGAGGACTAACCGCACCACCCGTCTGGGCATGATCTGAGAACAGAAATAAGTAATATTATAACTGGAATATAGATTTGGCAAGAATTACATTTATGTTCATGTTTTGTGTCGAAATTAACAAAATAACGAATAACCTAATATTAAAAAAATCTACATTTCATCTATATTTACACATTTTTCAATATCTCTTAAAATCATTATGGCAGTGGTCACCAACCTTTTTAACCCAAGACCACCGACCTCGGCCTAGGTGAAAGAAGAGATCTACCTATTGCAGAATTGAGTGAAAAAGACGGCCCAGACAATGCTTCCAATTTGAGGCCTTTTATATAGGCTAATTGCATCTGAATTACTGTTACAATGAAGGCTCCATAATCAGCTCACGGCATATAGGCAGGGGTAAAGTGCTATTTTTTACGAGTGGAGGGCAGACCTCACCTCCTCTAGGGGGGTCCTCACCTCCTCTAGGTCCTCACCTCCTCTAGGGGGATCCGGGGGGATGTTCCCCCGGGAAGATTTTTTTTTAAATATTGAAGTTAAAAGCATCAATCTGGTGCACTTTGAGAGCAACATTAAGAGATCTATGGATACATCTCTCAACAACCAGATGAAACAGAACTGTAAACAGATTTTCTTTTTGGATATTTTACAAATTACTCCCCTTTCAAACTGTATTCTTGTTTTACTGCCATATAGTATTTCATACCTGTTTTTCATGTATTCTCTTATTGTTTGTATAACTATAATGATCATATGAAGGTGTGCCGCGGAAATAATCTTTTGAATAATTTGTGACAAAACCGTTCTAAACACTCAGAGAGTCCTTTAGCTCACCTGAACCCCTCAGTCTGACAGGGGAGGACTCTCCTCCAGCTTGTTGTGGAGACAGCTCCTTATGTCCGTTAGTGCAGCTAGCTAACCAGATGCTAACATCACGGTCCCCACTAGCACCGGTCCCTCTCTCCCCCGCTCTCCCCCTCTCCCTAAATGCGCTATTGCCACACACACAGAGCCGAGCTTGAATGACACAAGCACACGTGTATTTCCATGCAACTCTCTGATTGGTCTGGTGACTTGCCTCTGTTGCATTCACTGAACACGGGAAATTGCAGTCATGCCGTCCTCTCTTGTGTCATGACTCATGATGAGGTTCACGTAAAGCACGGTTAATGTATTATATTATTGAGGTGTCTCAAATATATGTCAATCAAGTGGCACCTGCTAACGGGGTGGTGGATGATAGGTTTACATCTAAAAAAGTATTTTTCAAACATTATTATTTTAATTGTATTTTTCTTTCTTTTGTTACTTTTTTTTTTAACGGTCCGCGATCTACCCGCACCACACTAGCGATCGACCGCGATCGGCTGGTTGGCGACCACTGCATTATGGTATTAGTTTGTTGATACCACCAACTGTTATGTAGATTTAAGATGTGAAACTAATTATTATTAAATATCTAGGATCACGTTAAGGGCTCAAGAGGTTGAATAACTGGGTTCATTTGCTGTTTGTTTTCTTGATTAATATATGAATATATTTGTCTATAAAATGTCAGAAAATAGCTACATTGTTCTGTCCAAAACCCAACAATTTCAGAATAGAAAAAAACAAAAGAGCATTTCCTCACATTTGAGGATCTGAAACACAACACATTTACTACTTGTATCTAACATCACTGAATTATCAACATACAGCAGTTAGTTTGTTATTAAACTAATCATTCACTCTGGGGCAGCTACATGTTTATTAGATCTCATCAGCTGTCCAACCTGAATCTCTGGCAGTCACTCACCTTGGTGGCCTTCACAGCCTTGGTGTTGGACAGCCCGACCCCCTTCCTGAGGTCGGTGAGCAGGTCCCGGGTTAGGGTGCTCCAGGCGGTACGCGGCCCGACGCCGTACGTGATCTCCCGGTCTTTGAATGCGATGAGCTGTGTGTTGGTCACGTAGTGGATGGTGAACGGCGCGCCCTTCTCCGTGGTGTCCAGGATCACAGACACGCTGCCGTTGGAGACAAACTTGATGTCCAAGCTGAGGATGAAGTCTTTGGGGTTACCCAGCTGGAGGGACACGCCTTCTGAGGACTCTGGTGGGGGGAGGGAACATGTTAAGTGCTTAAATTGAAGGTGAAGATGGAACATTTCTTCCAGTGGAATTTGTCTGGAAAAACCTGACTAACCTCATTTGACTGATTTCATAAACTTGAGACAATTACCGGATGACAGTGGACTATTTTTATCAGACTGACTGAAAGCTTTTTACTTTGTATCCATTGATGTTGTGTTTCAATGAAAGCTTGTCTTATCTCCCACATTCCCCAAAATCAGTCTGTAGTCACATTCTCAAATGATCAATTACAGTAAGAAACATTCTGCGGTCAAAAACCTTCTCTTTTCTTCTGTCGTTATGTGTGTGTGTGTGTGAGTGTGTGTGTGTGTGTGTGTCAGAGCATTGAACACTAGCAGAGACAAGCTTCTCATGGGGAGTATGGTACGGATGAGTCACTGCACACAGAGCTTAATTAGGCAGAGGACCGAAAGGAATACAAAGAAAAAACAGACATGTAGGAAGAGGGAAAAAAAAGAGTGAAAGAAGAAGTTGATTGACTGTAGAAACTTTCCCATTTGCATCTCCACATCTCTTCCATACAAAGCTTAAAGTCGGAAACTCAGGAGAGATTCCGTTTTCACACTGCCACTGCTCCTATACCCATCAACTCAAGTGCCACCCACTTCAGTTGCTGCTCTGAATGCATGTCAACTCTCTAAAACATAAACAGCTTCTGGAACCATCTTTCCTTTGCCATTGTTACGTGGTGTGCACAGCAAAAAACGTTTACAATGAAGGTTCCCGAAGGAGTAAAGAGAAAAATGCAATAGTCAAGAAAAAAGGAGGATAATGGCAGGATGGGTGGCCTCAAGTGCCCTTAACGCCAGCCAAGGAGCGGAGAGAGTGAAAATGAGCCAATACTGAGAAGACAATTGAGAATCAGATCCCACATGACACTGAGCTGAGGAAGCAGAAGCAGACACAAAGACAGTCGATCACGAGGAGAATGGAGGAGAGAGCCAGTCTGGCAGGGGCCTCTGCAAGACTACAGCTCTTTAATGCACTCATAAATCCATTACTTAAGGCAATGCAGAAAGTAAGTGGATTTGTACTCTGGCCCTGTGATTACTCTGGCATCAATAAAGGATGGGCAGGGAATATAGACGAGATTCCACCTCCTCTGCTCTGCTGTTAACAATCAGGCAGCAGGCACAGATGACATGTAGCTGCACATACGTCAGCGTCAAAACAATGCTTGTATACATGAGTGAGCATGACGCAAACACATGTTCAGTGCGTGTTGTGCATGTGCGGAGACCAAAAGAATCCAAGCAACAGTCTTTTATTAATCATTAACATCTTCTAGTAACTACATCACGGAATATAGTGCCTACGAACATTATTGAACCGCTTGGGAAGTTTTCATGTTCCGCTTCAAATAAAAAAGTATTTTTTTGTATCAATTAATCAGCAAATAATATTTTGAATGTCTTTTATTTGTCAATGACAGAGCAAATGCCCATTGTAATTTCCCAGAGCCCAGGGTGAATTGATTGTTTTGTAGCGGCAGCAGTGCAAAACTTAAATATGTTCAATGTACCATACTTTACAAGGAGATATATAAAATCCACAAGTTTGACAAGCAGAAATCCTCAAATCATTGGCATATTGGCCTGGAAATAGACAGCAATTTAAAATATAACATATTTAGCAGGAAATTAAAGTTAAAGTGGAACTATCATGCTATATTTGAATAATTTATTGTAGGGCCATACCTATATAAAACATGTCTGTGAAGTTTTTTTTTCAAAATACCAAACAGATCATGCATTTTAGCCATGCCAAATTTTTGCCAGGGCTGATTCTGCTTTTGTGGCAGACTACAGCGCCACCTACAGCCCTGTCATATGTACTACAGCGTCTCCAGCGCTTTCGAGCGGCAATAGCAGTGGCCCAACTCCCCATTCCCCTGATAGGTGGAGAGTTGCCCATCTAGGCGGAGCATCCCTTTTCTGACGTCAGAAAAATTCAAATTTGTATCAGTCTGTATCAGATCCGTTGCAGCCCCGTTTTTAGAGATTTGGGTATGAAGGAAAAGAGAGAGGGTTGTGTTTTCTGACACTTGGTGAGTTCCCTGGAACACCGGGGACACATATTCATGTATAAAAGACGTACAAAAGTGCATTTTGCATGATAGGTCCCCTTTAATGTCCATCAACTAAATTGATATTAGTTTCTGATTCATCACAGAATGTTTGTTTGTCTTACAACGTTGTATGAAAGTAGAGTTACTAGCCTTTTTGACACTGATGAGAATCAAAAGACAACTAACTAATTGTATTAGTAGTCCGCGATTCACAGGATCTTTTATTATTGCAAGGGAGTCATGGAAACAGTTTAAATGATTGACAACATCGTTATTAAAGCGACTCCAGCTGGTTTTTATAAAAGTGTCAAAAAAGTCTACTTTGTTTCAATGTTACGAGACAATAAAATGAAAACTTCCAGTTGTGGTGAACACTTTTTTTTTAAAGGCACTGCCTGTGTTGACAGCTGTCACTCAACTGTTTCTCCATACACAGATCACCTCGCTTATTCTGAGAGGTTTGAACAGAATGCATTTCTAAACTATCAAAAGAACCAGGAGGGGATTGAGGAAATAAAGGTGCTCAGAGGAGGACACTGAGCGAGAATGTACAGATGGTAGATGGTAGGTTATTATCAGGGGACACACGATTGATCCACTTGATTTGAGAGGCTGTTCACCACCAGCGCCCTAGATAAAGTAAGGAGGAAAAAGACCCTAACAGAGAGAAAGAGGAGGAGGAGGAGGAGTGGAGGGAGGAAGATACGGAAAGATAAACTGACAGAAAATGAAGAAAACAGGAAAAGTTTGTAACACAGAGCAGAATAAGGCGTTTAAATGGATAGAGCGTAATATGATTGCAATGTTTAGCAAGCTCAAGAGGGCTGAGGGGGGATAAGGGGGTGGAGATGAGTAAAGAGAGGTGGAAAAGTGACTGAAATCTGGAGATGGATGACCAAGATTAATGGAGAATGAAGACTGCAGAGGGAAGGCTGAGGAGTGATGATGAAAACATGATGATGTCGAGGAAAGAGATGATGGCAAGTCGAGGCTGTGAGGCACGGCGAGCGAGGAGCAGAGACAGAAAGAAAAGTGAGCGGCGGCGGAATGAAAATAAATTGTCGATGATGATAGGTTGAAAGCGGAGGAATTAGGAGGAGGGGGAAATTACAGGAGAGGCAGCAGCTCAACAAAAGGACCCACACACAAGAGAGAAAGAATGTCCTGGAAATATCAGCAGGAGATCAAAGGAGAATAAAGACCTCTCACAATCAGCACAAGATTCTGACTTCTTCAAATCCAAAAATAACTCTGCAAAATATCTCGTCGCCTTGGTCATTTCGCAGCTGTAAAACTAGGCCACATCTCCAGTCTTTATGATAATAAACAGTCAGATTTGATTAAGAGTTATACTTCGATCACTAAGACATGTTCAACATAGAAGAACAACATCTGTAAATTGCCTATTGGCTGAACAATTGTCAGACCATTGTTGCAGCTGCATTGAATATATTACAAGAAATATCAAACAACTATTGCTTCTACATCAGGGGTAGGCAAGTAAGTTAGTAAGCAAGTAAGTAATTTTTTTCTGAGCCACAAGATGGCGGGCCAGAACATAATTAAAACGTAATTAAAGGAATTTATTTTGGTAAGAGGGCGCAGAGCCCCTGTTCCCCGGTTCAGAAAAAACTCTGATATCGCTGATGACCCTCCCCATCAACACTCTGATGCGCAGTCAGATCCGCTGATTGGTTCACTGATGATATAGGCGGCCAATCCAGAGCTTCTGGCTAGACCCGCCCTAAGGGAGGCTCGTCCTTTCTAGCCCCATTTCAGTCCCATGTTAAAAGCCAGGGCTATTATCTGTATTCTGTATATATATATGACTTATTTTTTAAATTGAGGTGTATTTATTGTTCTCTTCAAAGTTTATTTTTCTCTGAATTCTTAGGGAGGATGGTCCTAACTTTCCTCAGTGGACGAGCCTCCACTGAGTAAGAGTTATTAACTAGGTAGCAGTGTTATTTGACATACTTTTATTGTCAAGTATTGTCAAGTTCTCTGGGTTTTTGGCATTTATTTGAGTGTTTGCCCACATTTGAGAGGCTTGAGGGGCAACAGAGGACGCATGGACAACTCGAATCCTTTTTCCTTTTCTTTATTTCAACTTTTCAAGGAGACATTAGGATTCTTTCAGGTTGAAAACCTTTTTTAAAAAAGAAAAAAAAGTTACAGCATGTTTTGCTTTGCAATTTAATATATTATAACCTCAATTAATCACTAACCAAGTATTTTACTCAAACTCAATGTATTTAATAGTTAAATAAGTACTTTAATGCCTCTCTGTTTATTCTCTTGGCTTTCAGAATATGAAGCTTGTATTTCCATCTACAAATGGAGCTAATTGATTTTCAAACAAGCTCCCTGGTCAGCGATGCGCTCAGAAGTGCGGAGTCTGAGAGTGCCTTTTGGGTGGGAAGCTCAGAGGAGTATAGCACGATCAGTCTTTCTTCAATTAATGCGATAAAGACGCACAAGAGCAATCGATTGATGCATAAAACCGGACTGCTGCGGATTAAAGGACGTCCATTCTTTTGCCAAGGCACACANGAGTAATGAGACAGTCATTAAAGCTGGTGAAACAAATGTTCACCATATTAAACTCTAACTCGCTCTTGTGATTTGAAAACTTGCACTCTTTAAAATTGTCTCAGTCTCAGACACACACACACACACACACACACACACACACACACACACACACACACACACACACACACACACACACACACACACACACACACACACACACACACACACACACGGGACATAATGAAAAGGACATTATGAGTGAAGAGGGAGACGGTCAATTTTTTCCTTTTTCATTTCATATTTTCCCTCTTTATAGAGCAATTTCTGGACGCATAAGGGAGAAGAAGGCTGCACACAATGAACCACTATACAGTCTGAGAGCCCTCAGTACGATGTGAGCATAGATACAAAGCCAGTGAGGTGGATACATTTAGATATACCTTGGACTTGGGAACATTGCTAAATGGCACCAAGGACAGTGCTATCCTTCTGACCGTTTTATTAAACAGGGCCTATTAGAAAAACGTCTGAAGTACTTCTATTAAAATACTGTTTTTATGTTGCTCATGTTATAAATTTGCAGCTGAAAATGGGTCGATGAAACATGTTCACTGTTTGTTTATGATCAAACTTGGAGTTATACTATTTAAATGCAGGTAAATCACATTTGATAATGTTAAAGCTGCCTGCTTCGGGTGACGTGTATCTTTATAACATGTTGTTATTTTCACAGTCAATCTAACATACACTGCTGCCATAAATGCTCACTCGAACCCCAACTGTGTCCGAAACAAATGGACTATTTCATCTGTTTGCTAGAAACTGCATTCTCCATCTGTTTTAGGAAATATTTAGCCTTTTTTGATGGTGGAAGTAAATATTGAAACACAGTTTTCAAAGATTGACATCCTATGTCCTGTCTGAAACGATCAACTAATTGTTCCCCTGAAGAGACTTGGCACGTGTTCCTGAACCACAAAAAGGCACAGGTTAAATATCTGTCATTAAAGCCCATATGGCACAATGTTGTTTGTGCCTGTAGGACCAGCGTGAACGCATTTAGACAGCATTGACATGAGACAATGTCTGACTAAGTGAACAAAACAGGATGAAATGAGTGATGTTGGTTCTTAAATCATCACATTCTCAGAGTTTCTCCTTGTGTGGTGGGTCCACTGTCAACCAGCAGTCTGTGTGTGTGGTGGCGTTTTAATCCTTGTCTACATTCAATAGACACCTCTGTCGGGGTTGTGGGTTTTGACGCGCCTCTCTTTGTTTTCAAACCAATTTAGCCGAGGTCGTTGTTGAATCAGATGAGCTTTATTCATTGGTCCAGACGGCATAGAAACAGGAGGAAACATTTCTTCGCTTCATAGTAAATAAAAGTGATCAGTATTCAAAAAGAACCCGATCAAAATACTTTACCGCTTCCCCGTCTCATCACAATCAGCTGTGTCCTATTAACCTGCCATATATAGGCATTTAGCCATGCACGTGATACCTGACGCACATTTCATAACAAATGAGTGAGCCTTAAATGAATATCTTTTAAACCATAGTGTGACTCACAAAAATACATGATTAATTAAGAGTTTAATCTAAATCCTTATATTATTATTAAGCCTAACATTCAGACCATAATAACAAAATGAAAATGGCTCTAACAGTGTGTATGGTCGTGCTGTAGCTGTGACTCACTGCAGACTATCTCCCCCCCTGAGGGTGTAGCTGTATCTCAGGCCTCCTACAGTCACCGTTACCAGGAGATAAGCTCCGCGCCCCGAGGATGTGCACGCTCATGGAAAGTTTCACGTACCTGGAGCACTGAACTGACGCACGGAAGAGGCTCGGGTCTTGTCGTGGACACGGCTGAGGACGCACCCTTTGGGCACGCTCCAGGGGGCGGAGCTGGCCCGGCTGTCTCTGTCCTCGGCCGTATCGTAGACCTCCACGTGGGGGGGGCGCTCCGTCAGGTTCTTGCTGTAGTGGCTCAAGCCATACTGAGCGATCTGGATGGCGTAGAAGTATCCCTGAGGACCCCACTGTGTGGACAGAGGCACTCCTGTTGGAAAAGACGGAGGTAGAGGAGGATGATGTTGAATAAATATAGACAATTACCTTCCTGTATGCAAGATAATATAGATATTTAATCCTGTGGTTTTCTTTTTCTAATTATTACTTTTCAAAAGGGCAATGCTTTAAATAATGTGATCATCTTGTTAAAAGAAGATCTTAGGCTCTTTGCAGTCTATTTCAAGTAAATGCTCCTCTTGAGATAGCAGTTGTCATAACAGCTTATTGTGGTGCAGTGGGCGCAGTGGGTGTCACATAGAGGTTATATGCACGGTCAGAGCAATAAAACTGGGCTAACAATAAATATTAATATCAAACACACACATTTAAAAATGTTCCAGTTTACGGAACGAGCATTGAAATCTGGGCTTATTTTATAATCGCAGACATGGAAGACAAAAAAGAAGCAGGAAAAGGTTGTTTTTTTTAAACCGAGAGCGCAAGCTAAGGTAAATGATTGGATTGTGTGGTAATATTCAAGCTAATCTACTGCATTTGACCAGAGGCGAGCTTCCCTGTTCACGCAGCCAGAAATAGCTCAGGCAGGAGGATGAGTCTGATTAACAGATTGTTCACTTAAAGACCTTTGACAGTGAGAGCACATGTGCAACCTACACCCCGTCCCTCGGAGAATAACATCATAACACACTCATACTATGGAGGTAATAATGTGCCTGCTCCTCTAAAACTAATAACAACTGCATTCGAGGTGATCACTTATGTTCTCTTTTCCTAATATGACACATTTCACACAAAGATTCAGGCTGCGACAGTGACTGACATAACAGAGCACACAATCTACCTTATGGACAATATAAGAACATTGAGAGAGTTTTAGCTAGTAATGGCTTGTCTAGGGCTTCATATTATACTACATCATTCATTCTTTAAAGAACACAATTAGAAAAAAACGATAAAAACAATGATTAATAAATAATGTAATAAATGTTTGACAGTTGTGAATATGCACACAGAGTAGAGTTTGTTTCTACATCTGCCAACCAATCTGGGACATCTACCGCTGTTCGTGCCGTTGTTAAAACACTAAGTCCCTTTTCACCCTTTCTGCGAGAGCTTAACCAACACTCTTCTTATGGACTGCATGTGCATTACTGTGAAGAATTATTTCAGACAGACCACATTCAGTACAAAAAACAATCATGGCCTCTAAACTGTAGTCACACTGATGAGCAGAAGTCATTCTGAATTTAAACATGTTCCTTTGCAAAGAGCTTAAATGGAAAGACCAATCATATAGAATGCCATGTGTTGGTATCGATGTGTTTTGCATTCGATAAAAATGCTTTGAATGAATGGTCCAGAATCAGAGGATGGTAAAACAACACAAACTACACAAACATTGACTTGCTTCTCTTTGTTAGATCTGCCATTTCATTTCCCCTGATGATGTCAATGCAACTCCCCTTGAGGTGAAAGTGCCAGACTTGTCTCCCTGCCTGCCTCGTTACTGCCGTCTCCCTTGACAACTTAAGTCAAATGACTGTCAAAATCTCAACACTGTAACGCCGTGCTACTGAATAACACCCAGTAATCCATGTGGAATTGACTGTTAAGCCTCAACATATTTCATGACTCCAGAGAGCTGACTTTTCTAACAATCTGAAAAACTAGGTCTTCTACCAATTACAGGAGGCTCTAAGCCTACTGAAGTTTATATAGCAGGAAACTGTTCCACCATCTTATTATTATGCAGGCTTTGTTTTTGTAGGTCAGCAGACTGTAACATCTGCATGAAGGTGAGCAAACTTTAAAGGGCATTAAGCGACATGTTTAATATTAAACCAAAATGAATAAAGTGACATGAAAGGTTCCATATTCATGCTTAGAATTAGGAACCAACCTGTTCTTTGCCACTTCTTTGCCTAGATATGAAGCATAATGCCTGAAAACTGACTTCAAACCACAGTTTTATTTATTTATTGGTTTGAGATGTTGTCTGTTTAAATATATTTGTGATTTAGAGTCATTGTGACCAAGCTGCAACTCCAACAGTAAGCCACAGTGTCTTGGTTTTACAGACTATTCATCCAAATCCACCTCTTAGTGTATACTGTAGGTGTTTGATGGATCACGCCTCATACAGTATATACATTTGCACCAAGAGTGTTATCAACCAATGAAGTTGAACGAATGTGTTTTAGGGCTCTGAGTGTATGTGTGAAGTTAAAGATGGTTCAAGGAAAAGCGAGAGAACCATAAAACGCGACAGTTTGATTTAAGAGGGTGTTGTTACAGAGGATTAACTACGTCCACTAATGATAGCGCTCCCTCCGGCTGCTGGAGCTTCAATATTTTCAATATTTGTTCTTTGTCTCATGGAAGCACTGCTGCAAGAAGAGAAAGTAAGATCTCCATTCCATAGCTTCGACTTTTAAACTACAAGCTCTACAAGATTTGTGCCAAGGAATGACACATACAGTAGAGTCCTGCTTTTTTATGACTATCTAGGAAAAAACCCTGAGAGCATACTTCTGTATTCTGACTGGTTGTGATTTTAAGAAGAAATTATGTGAAACGCTCTAATTTTAAAGATTGTTTTGGATCCCAAAAGTATCACAGTTTAAGAGCCATAATGTGTAGGATTTTCTTTAGAACCAATGTATAGCTTAATAGAAAAATAATACCTATCATTCTTCACTTATGACGCACTAAGAGTGTGTGATGGTGTCTGTATCTGCGCTGCTCTGCCTTGATTTCTCTTTTCCTTTCATTTTGTGTGTCTGAGATGTTTTTAGGTGTCAAGCCTTGTAATAAGACCAGGTGTTAGATCTTTAGTATGCATTCAAAGGAAGCTACGAAGAAAAAACTCAAATATAGCGAGGCTAAAAGCCAAGCAGAGAAAAATGGTTTCAAAACTAGAGTGAATCTGGGCAAGGCTTTTACACACTTGTACCACATTGCAAGTGTTGTTTTTAGAAATCGCAAGGGAGGAATCATACAAATTGTGCCTTCGAATAAGTGATTGACTGCTTAATTTAAGTGCGTGTCAAATGCTTTGACTCCTGACACAAGTTACATCATGTTCCGACTATGGCAGAGGCTAGAGCGATGTAAACCATATTTAATGAATAATCCTGAGGGTTAAATAACTGTTCCATGGGTAACATGGTGTTTTGGGAGTGAAGAGCTCCCATGACGTTGTGTAAGCCCTTTGGTAACTTGGGTTGTGACAGGCTAATTAATAAAGTGCTATTTTCACCTATAAAAATATGTAAGTTGAAGAGAGGCGTGTAAGCTTGGGTGTGAGGAGGGCTAAATAGGAAAGAGCCTTGGGCTTAATTAATGAACCTTGTTAAAGTGTGTGAGTGGGTATGCAAGCGTCTAGCCATAGAAGTCTTTCCTCTATATTGTACTAAAATAAACCGTGTGCAGGAAATGAGATGGTGAGAATAACTCTGCTCCCCACTGCTCACATTTGGCTGGATTACCGTCTGACCCATTTCCTGCTATATTTACTCCATACATGTGTTACAGATGGTCTTTTAGTAGGACTGCAGTTCAGAAAAAAACGAATTAATTAATTGAAAATCAGCCAAACTCATTGGAAGTAATCAACTATTCGTTTTATGACCTGCCTTGTAATTTGGTATTCTCTGCATCTATATGAATATCAAAGCCTCTGAAAGCGTGACACATATACTTCTTGCAAGTTTTTACTATAAAGGAAACTACTGTGTGTTGTTCTGTTGGTGGGATAAACAGAAAAGCAGATTTGTATCACTAAAAAAGCCAATGCAGGGAAATTGTGCAATCCATCTCTGCAAAAATACCTATTTACTGCTGGCAAATTGCTCTCAGAGACACTGCCTGTCGTTACTCATCAGGCTAACCTCAGCAACTGACACTTTGCCAGTGAATATATCACCTTTTATTACATCTCCCGGATCAAACAAAAGCTTGCTTCTTGAGAGGAAATAGGCTAGGGCAAAATAACTAAGATTGTTCTACTTGTGTACTTTTCACTGATAACATGTTTGAATCTGTAGGAAACGTTTTGGAGAATTCAAAAGAACCTCTTTTTTTAAGTTGTTGTTGTTATAGTCTTTCTTTTTACGGTTTGCCATATTTTGTGACAATAAAACACAAAGGTTGAATATTTATTTTGCAATTGAAGTAAAGTATACAGGGTCATTTGTTCAAGCGAGCTGGGAACAGAATCATATTGATGACAATGTACTCGAACTAATAGCCTTTAAAATTAGATATTGATCCTTACTGATCATTATTTTAAAAGGAACCTTGACGAGAAAATAACTTTGAGGGTTAGACTCAAAGTGTGAAGGAACAGGGAGAACAAACGTCCAGCAAGATATCTATACAATATCTATTCAAAGAAATGAGTGTCTGAGTAAAGGAAAACACAGTTTGAATGCACACACATCTTGTTTGGTAGCGGTAAGACTGAGAGCATTTGGTTGGCAGAGATTGAGTATGTGCTTTTGATCTAGCTTGTTTATCAAGCATTAGATTAGCTAGAAACTACCTTTTCAAGTAAATCATATATTTCACATCGACATAGTCAAAGTTTAAAAACCAATAGTTTGGTAGCTTCGGCACCCTAAAAAGGAAAATACTATTTATAAATAGAACTAGGGATGACCCGATCACCTTTTTTTGCTCCCGATCCGATTCCGATCATTTGATTTTGACAATCTGCCGATACCGATTTTTCCCGATCCGATCTTTATGCAATGCATTAAGAGAAAAAAAGGTAACAGATAACGGCTGGTCATCCAACGCGATGAATTCAGCTATCTTGGCTGTTATTTTTTGGGCCTTTTCACTGTTCTGGGGCAGTTTCTCTTTCCTTTGAAAAGTCTCTGAAAGTGTCAGTTGTTTCAGTGCNACTACAACATGGATGTACAATAAGAACGAGGGACTCATCTAGAGACTCTGCACCGTGCTCTGATGCTGTTGCTTTATGCTTTATGAACGTGGATAACAGAGAAACATATTCTTCATGACCAAAGTTGGAATTGAGTTGTTTGTGTGGGAGAGA